CGCCAGTTGCTCAGAAATGGAGTAAAATGCTCAAATGTGTGAGTGCAGTGTTCAGAGGATGTGAGGCACGGGGTCTTCATCTCCTCCCTGAAAAACAAGGTACCCAGAGCCCTCCCGCAATGCCTCCCCTGGCAGTCAGCCTCCAGCACCCCTCATCTGCCAGCACCTGGACCAGACCCTCTGCAGAACACCACAGGAAAGGCAGAGGCTGCCTCCCCTGCTCACCCATCGGTTCTCACCCCTCCCTTTGGCCCCAGGAGTGGCAGGGCGGGTCAAGGGGGGCTGAACCCCACGTGGCTGAAGGGGCTTTGCATCCTGCTACTCGCAGCCTCCTTCCAGTCCACCCCCCTGGCCTGGTCCAGTTCAAGCTGTGCCCTGCCCAGGGAAGAGGGGAACCTGCAGAAGAGGAGACCCAGGGCAGGAGTGGTGGACTTGGGGATGAGCCTACAGCCGGCTGGGATCCACTGCTCCCTTGGAGCTGCCAGAGGGCAGCTGGAACAGCTCTGTGGAGCAGGGCAGCCCTGCACTGGTACCCAGGGAGGAAGGGAGCCTGGCTGGGCTGGCAGAGGGCTGCAGGGAGGACGGGGCTGTGCTTGCTGAGGTTCAAGCTGGTGGCTGAGGAAGCAGTTAGTGGCACAGGTTATGGGCTGGAACAGGAGACCAGGGTAAGTGTGGAATTCCCCTGATGTTCTCCTCCTCCCTCACTCCCCTCTATTGCTGCTGGGGCCGTTTCCTCCCCTGAACAAGTTTCTCTTGTGTGAATTGTTTGCATGATTTCCTACCGCTCTGCTCAGCCAAAACAAGGAGCCAGGAGCGAACTGTTTCCACTGTGGGCAGGGACCTTATCCAGAGAGGGAGAAAAATTTGTCAAAGCAAATTCTACTGAATGCTGGATCCCTTGTCCTGGGTGAGACGGGTAAGAGACAGGCTGCCTTGGGGACAAGGTGTCTTGCCCCACAGATGGGGGATCTGCATGGGCAGCCCGTTTTCTAGAGGGATGGAAGAGGATAGCTGGAGAACTGGTGGGACTTCGTGAGTTCTGCTTGGTGTCAGAGCTGGGTGTCACCCTTACCCTTGCCTCCACTTGCAGGCAGTCTCAGACATGGACACTTTTCCTACCCGGTGCTCGAGATGACTCAGAAGCACTGTGGAAATGGGTGTTTTTCTGTGCCTGATCTGGGACCACCTCGGGCACGGCAGCACTGCGTGTTCAGACCCGGGGACATCCCCAGGGGTGTCCCTGACCCCTCTGCTCCAGGATTGCTATCTCGCTGGTGACGGGTAGATCACCTCGTGCCAGGTATGCCCTGTGCCTGTGGGACCTTTGTGATTCAGCATGCTAATGAGTCCCCTTGTACTGGGAGGGAGCTGGACAACCTGAGAACGAGCCCAGCAGTCTGTCCTACAGGGATGGCCACATTTCCCCTGCCCACAGTTCCTTCATCCCCTGCCCTTTCCAAAACTCCCTGTTGCCCTTTCCAAAAGTCTCTGCTGAGCACCCACCCCCATGGCTGCAGGCTGGAGCAGGCAGCTGAGGGAAGGGCAAGGGTCCGAGCAGAGCGGGGTGGAGGGCTTGTTCCGGCAAAGGCGGGGGCTGTGGCTGGGTGAGGGGGGGTCTCTGGCTGCGAGCAGGTATCGTTCTGTAGCTATGTCCTGGCTCCGGGGCTCAGCTGCGCACCCTGCGTGCCAGCATGGAGCAGCCCGGTGGCAGCAGGACCACGTGGCACCACACGAGAGCGGTGTGCTTGTAGCCTTGGCCAGAAGAAAGCGGAGATTGGCATGATGCCTGCATCTCAGGTCTCCTGGGCGTAGGAGGTTTCCCGGTTTAGCAGGAGACAATCCCGACTCCTGGTTGGCATCACTGCCCGTGGCACAGAGTGCCTTGGTGCAGACACGCTCATCGCAGCCCAGTGGCCTCGCCATGATTCCCCTGAGTAGTTCACGGCTGTCGCAGCCGTTTTGGGAAGCTGAGGGCTGGCAATGAGGAAAGGGGGGGAGGAATGCAGAAATGAGACCAGAGGAGGAGGAGGCTGTGCCTGGGTGGAGAAGGAAGAGGGAAGGGGTGAAGCAGTCCTTCAAAGCAGGCATGTCCCAGCTTCAAGGTGAAAGCCTGAGGTCTGGCGGATGGGGATGGTCACCCCCATTGCCTCTGCAGCACAGATGCCCAAACTTGCTGAGCCCCAGGTGGCTCCACCACCTTGTTGCGAAGCCACCCAAGCCAGGCAGAGCGAGGTGCTGCTGGTGGGGGGCTGCCCAGGGTTTCCACCTCCCCCTGGTGACTGCCCCACTTGTCCCCACGTGACGATGCAGCATGACATGGGTCAGGGCAGAGGGGCCGGGGGGATTCCTAGGGGCGCGGGGGCTGGTTGCCGTGGGACGTGACCCTGGGCGCTGCTCCCTCCCCCGGGAGCCCCGCGTGGCTCTGGAAAGTGAAAGCAGCAGAGGTTTGAAGTTCAAGCCGAATTGCCTTGGAAAGTCCCTGGTCTGAGCCGTCTTATCTCTGCCCTACCTGAAAAAGGCAGATCCCGCAGCTTCCTCCCACACGTGGTGCCTGGGAGCGGGTTTGGAGAAACAGGGGCTGTCCCTGCCAGTGGGCAAAGGACATCTCGGTGCAGGTGCCTCCACGGAGACGGGAGGGGGGGACAATGCAAAACCCAGCAGGGAATCTCCCTGCCTGGATCAGAGAGAGCCCGCCGAGGTGAAGGGTATGGTCCCCCAGCTCTGCCCCTCACTCCTGTGCCCTTTGGCTGTGCCCCTGATCCGTGATCTGCCGAGGGCGGCCGGACCCTGCTCGTGGGGAGCACTGGCGGTGAGGGGGTACCCCACAGCGGTGTGGAGGCAAATGTGGGTGGCCTCTCTTTCCAGCGGGGAATTCCCTGCCGTGGCATGACCCGGGGCTTCCCCGCGGATGCAACCTCTCCTGTCAGCCTCTCTGCTGACGGCAGAGCGAAGAGGAACTGGCCTTGTGCCACCAAAAATGGGGCTCAGCTCAGAATGCCCAGGGTCCCAGGTGCTGGCTTGACCCTCGGGCAGCTGGCGAGAAGAGAGCCCCGGCCCCACTCCTTTGCTGCAACGCTTTAGGGCCAGGTCTGGCCTCCCTGCCTGCAGAGGAGTGCTGACCCACGGTATCCCAAAGCGGGGCAGTGCAGTGAGCAGTGTGCCTTGCCGGGGCTGGCACAGCTCTCACCATCCATCCCTTGTCTCTGCCTGCCTCCGCCAAGCAGCATGGGCAGCAGGAGCCCACTTAGGGCCAGGCCTTCAGTTTGGAGCTGATTCCTGATGGAGACAAAAGCCACCCAGGGGCCCCAGCGTTGGCTGTGAGGAGGTGGCAGGAGCCTCAGCTCAGGCCTGCCGTGTGCTGCCCGCTCCTCGCTGCTGTCCGCTGTGGCCGGTCTCTCTATGCAGGGGGGCCTGGGAGCCCAGCAGGCTGGCGGAGAGGACTGGAAATTCCCTCTCGGCTCTGCCTCCGTCACACTCTCACTTCTGTTCTGACTGCGCCAGGGGCCCGGGATCAGACCTGGCTGCAAATAAAATCTCTCCTGGGGCTGGGGGACCCCGGCCTGCCCAGCCACATCACGGCTATGGGGGCCACGATCCTGAGGACCAGGACCACTGAGCTCCAACGGAGGTGTCACCTCCGACAGAGGTGTCTCCGGTGTCCATCTGCGCTGGCAGGCTTCATG